GACTAATTCCAGGGATGCTCAAGTCCCTTATATAACATGGTGTATTTACATAGAACTTAGGTACATTCTCCTGTGTTCTTTTAATCATCTCTAGATAACTTACAACATCTGATACAATGTAAAGCTGGATAAATAGTTGTTATACACTATGGTTTAGAAAATAATGAGAAGAAAAATGTTTGTGCATGTTTAGTACACATGTGGTTTCATTTTTAATATTTTGGTACACAGTTGGTTGAATCCATGGACACAGAGCACTCTATATAGTTCAGGGATTGTGACGTTGATGAATCTTGGGAGAGAAAAAAAGGGCAGAAGAGGAGAAAGCTGGCTTTGGTGGGAATCATGTGGTCATGCCACCCCTGCTCTGCATGTGTGGCGCATAGGCACATTCCACAACCCGCCTGTCTCCTGATATTCCTCAGAAGACATATTGCTGCATTGGACAGGAACTGGGGTAGGGAAAGCCATGTGAGGCTAGGAGCTGGGGCTCATTAAAGTTTGGCTACTTGTAATGCATTTGAGGATTCATAGCAGGGGCATCACTTGGAAATAGCTCAAAATGCATACTCTAGGCTGCTCCCAAACACAGAAAAACGAGGTATTATCAATCCACAGAGGAGCCTGCACACGTTGAGATTCAATAGGTACCAGACTGAAGTATGAAGGACCGAGAAGGCTACAGCATGATTAAATACGACTGGAGTTGATTCTCTCTTTTGCCGGCCTTTCTGATAACATAAATAAAATTTTCATACCCAATACAGGAAAACTCTAAACCTCTAACACATCTGGTGACTCAGAGGAAATATAATTACCATTCATTTTATTTGTTAAGAGAAGTTATCACTATCTAACCCAACCAGATTTTTCCTTCTCACTCCTTAGAGTCAACTATTGCCACCTAACTCTGTGGTAGAAGGAATATGTTACAGTGCTTCTTACCTGGGAGGCAGTTGATTCAAACCCCAGAATAAACTGGCGGGGGACATCATCACCTCCTTTCTACCTTACTAGCTTCTGAAACCAATGAGTGACAGGTCTTTCCCTTTGGCCATTGTCTATGAAAACGACTGAGTGATTATTCAAAGGGCCTCACAACTATGTACAAATTTCCAAAAGAACAGGATGAATGGATTAAACTRACTGTTATAACCAGAGGAGCTTAATTAAATGAATTGGTACAAAATATACAAACACCCCCATCTTTTACTTACAGCAGCTTGTCTACTCCCTGCTATAAATACCTCCCCAGGCCTTTGGAGTCTGCGGACATGGATATCCTGCCATTTCCTCTGCTAATCTCTCATTGTTTGGGGGTCTGGCCTAGTGCCACAACGGAAAAGTTGCCATGTTTGTTGATTTTTACATGCATGCTGTCCACAAAGTAATGATTACTTCCTGGAGGGCTGCTGGGCTCACCTTACCGTTAACCATCGATTTATTCTTGTAGTCATAGATGATGCACATTTAGTGCTGAAAATTAAATTTCAGAGGTTCCCCCCGCCCTCATATATATCCAGCTTAGTTAAAGGGAATGTTTTAGCTTTCCCTCTACCTCTGATCAGAAGACAAGAATGATGGGAACTCATGAAGAATTGTTGCTTCCCTGTATGTCAGAACAGTTATTCTCAAATTAATTTTGCTTAAAATGTTTCCCGTATCTAAACTACAGACAATTCCGAAGATGTGGATTTTATCCAGGAAAGCCTTATACTTTACAAAAAATGATTTTTGCCTCATTATACCCAAGTGTCCAAACTTTTGTGGTGAAAGAAATAGCTGTTTAACTTGGAAGACTTTGCAGTATAAGAAGATAAAAGTGGGGTTAGAGTGTGGGTGTGTGAGGGAGTAACAGTGGCCTTCAGAAGATGAAGTGTTAATGTAGGGAGGATGGAGACCAGCGGCTTTTCATCTCTGCAGAGAACAGACCAGAGGAAATGGGCTCCCAGGCCGGAGCAGAGCTTGGGGGAGTTGTAGGCAGCAGGAATCATGGCAGGGAGAAAACCAAGGCCAGAGCAGGAGGAGCCTGCAAGATTTTGAAAAGAACCTGGGAAATGTTCTGAACATTGTTAAGGTAGATGGTATAAATTCTGAATTATGATAATCCTTAAAATACACCATTAAAATATTTAATCTAGGGTCACATTATGATTGTCCTTCTCAGCAAAGCTCTGCCTATCATGTACAAATGACTGTGTTAAGCATGGTTCAGGGGAGTCTCTTAGCCCCATGGCAGCATTGAAAGAGCAGAGCCTTTGGAGTCAGAAAAGTCTAGAGTTTAATTTCAGTTTTGTAACTTGTCCTCTTTGCTTCCTTGCATCCACTATCCATCCTCTCTGACTTTTATATTCTTATTAGTGAAATGCCAACATTATACAGAAGCCGTGACCACTGAAAAATCATGTATTCAGTTTATTTGTGTTTATACCCAATACAGTAGCAGGTACATTTTAAAGCATCTAATACTCGTAGTGGGAGCCAATTATGATATAGGAGGCTCATTAGTGCAAGGGACTGTTGAGTACTTTACTTGTGATGCTAAGATTTCCATTTTATACTTTAGGAACTGATAGAGTGAAGGAGCTTACATAAGGACATAAAGCTAACAAGAGGTGAGGTGTGTGTGATTCAACAAGTGCATGTGATGCATTGAGCTTCACTCTTCCTGCTAGACCACACTGCTTCATATTATATGAAGCTATCTAAGAATACTCAGAAAGCATATGTCCATGTGTGCTATTGTTAAAATCCATGTTTTACAAAGTTCAGGTTCTCACATCCGTCACACCTTGTTTGTGTGCACTATGTCTGCCTCTTCCTTCACTTTCTTGAGCACTGAAGTTGCTCATCATTAGGCTCGGACACATACCAGTGAATATGCTTGGAGGATCTCTTGGAAATTACCTGAACTCTTTGCAATAAAGTAGAAAATCTTGAACTTTTTATATCTGTGAGATTTTTTCATCAATTTCTATTATTTTATCAATTAAGTCATTCAACAAACACCGATATGCTGTGCTGGTGATGTCATGAAAATGAAGCATATCAAAAAAAGATTGGAATGTATTAATATGAATGAATGACATAAAGCTTGCACGAAGTGGCAAATTTGGGGAAATATTTCAAACCAAGTTACACTTGAGTGGGGTCTTTGTATTATAGGAGAGTAGACCAAGACTGGATAAAAATTTTTAAAATTCTAAAAAAATAACTGAGGCATATTTATAGACCATCTGATGTACCCTAATCAGATTCATGATAACTTATTAAAACTAAAATAATCTAACTAACAATGAAATCAGAATGGAAAGAACAATGTTGATCTACTTACAAACATATTACCATTAATTCTCCACTAAAAACTTAAACCAATGAATAGCTTATTATTTTTAGAAAACTTGCCTTTTAAATTTGGGAAAGCAAGAAATTTTGCTTGTAGATCTACAAACAAGGAAAAGAAAAAAGGCATAGAAGTGGCACTTGGGATAGCCAATCAGTGTGTTCAAGAATGCTGGACACATTTACATTTTTTCTTTGTAAGATGTTTCTACAGATTAGTTGGCCTAGAAACTTCCAGATGTTTATGGGAATTATTTCTCTACTATATACACTTAGCTCAATTGTATGTGTGTTGGGGGGATGCTAGGTATTGACCCCCAAGGACAGTCTACCACTGAGTTACAGTCTCAGTTCTTTTTAATTTTTTTAACTTGAGACAGGGTCTTGCTAAGTGGGTTAGCTTTGGACTTTGAACTTGAAATCCTCCTGCCTCAGCCCCTTGAATAGCTGAGATTCCCAGAGTGAGCCATCAATGCCCATCTTCATGCTCTTTTTAGGACTTTAGAATGCTCCAGTAGAGATACCAGCCATTTGATTTATAGTCACAAATTGCTGTTCTAAATAATTTTGCCTCAGAAAAATATGTCCTGAGATAGCCAAAATATTAAAAGTAGAATATTAAATTAAAAAAACTTAGTCAAATACACAACCCTTTTATATGTGATCAAGAAACATAACTGTAACAATAGAATGAATGTGAACATTAAGGGAATAGTGTTAGTATTTGTTATTGATTACTTCTTAACAGCCTGACAATAATATCCTGGAGATATTAGTTGCAGCTTTTGTTTGTATCCCAAGGACATTAAAAGAGAAACATGATTCTGCAAGTTCTAATTATATCAGAAAGAAGTGATTAACAGTGTCAGGAATTATTTTCATAATGGGTTTTGAGTTTAGATTTAAATACTTACATTGGTAGCCATTCCAGTTCCATTATTATTAGTTTTGCACATTATCAGTACCGTGCATTTAGTATGCATGAGCCAGAATATGAAGTGTATAGTTTTTACTTGATCAAGTGTATATTGGGTTTGGGTGGGAGCTTGCTTAACTTGTTCAAATACCATTCAAATAAACTAACTCTCTATTACTTAACCCTGATCTCATCAGATATATCACTTATTTTATCTCCCTAAATGTGGGATTTTGTTCCCATGATYTAATTTCCCATGATTTATTTTGTGTAATTTATAGTAAATGTATTTTTCTATGTAGATTTTCTACTTTTTCTTCTGATGTTTCATTAAAAAATATTTCTTTAAAAAATATTATACGGTTTCAGTAGTTCATGTGATAATATAAGTGATTATTATCTGTTGTCATAGATTCAACATAATAATCTGAGTTAAATAAAAGTATTTTTGACTACTAATAACATGACCATTTTTTAGTGCCTCAGAAAGTATGAATTTTTGTTAAAGGGATATGCTATCAAACTACCACCACAATGTATTTTTTGAATGTGACAGTATTATCTTGCTAAATTAAAAAAAATAAGGATGCAGTTTATTACAATCTAAAACATAAAATAATGCTGGGTATGTATGTATGCTACTTACTTTATCTCTTACTAACACAAAAATAATTATTTGTATAATCATTTGGCACTAATCACAAAGCAAATAAAAGTCTGAGAATATTATACAGGCAATAAATTTTAAATCAAAAAGTTTATTGTAAAAAAGGACCTTGAAAATTATTTTTTTTTAAAAAAGAAACATCAATTTCACAATTCTTCAGGTTGTATATAGGCATAGCTATAGACAACATCTCACTTTCATACAAAACTCATTCAATCATATAAAAATAAACACAAATTTACATTGACTTGTCAACTATACAGTTAATTAAAAAAGGCACTTGGAAGGGGTGTTGTATTATTGCATCTGTCGTATGCATTTAAAATAGTTTCAGTTCATTACTGAATTTCTAAGAATCTTCTCTTGCACTTATTCCCATTTTACTTAGTTTCAGAAAAATCATTAAAATTCTTTTAAAAATTAATATTTGGAGCATGTACCAGGAATGTTCAAAGCTAGTCTTTCCCTCCTTTCCCAAGGCACATGTGGCAAAAACAACAAAACAAAAATACTTTTAATACATTCTCCTGTGTTTTGTTCTTATTTTTTTCTCTTTCTTAAAATTACAGTTTAAAGCATTACAGATAATCAAAAATAAAAAATAAAAATAAAAAGGCTTTAGTTCAATGATGGCAACCAGACATCAGACATGTAATGAAGTAAACTTAGAATACTTTATAAGGCACCTGAGATAGCGTCTGGCAAATCCTCTCCCTATAGGAAATTCTATTACAAACTATTACAAAGCAATACTGTTCCTTTCAGTTGAAATGATTTGGCAGCAATGTAAATCTTTGCATTCTTTCTTAGTAAGAAAAGATGCAATGTGCTTTGTGCTTCATCTTTGAAGAGAAAGTTCCTCATCTTTTATCTTCCCAATCTAGCTGTCAGTAAATATATAGTAATTTTAAACTTCACATGGAAAGGATTAACTTTAAACACATGGATTCCATGCTCTTGCAGCTTTTAATGTGTGTGTGTGTGTGTGTGTGTGTGTGCACGCACGTGTGCACGTGTGTGTTTGTGTGTGTCTATACATATTATTTGGTTGGTAAGCACAAGAGAAAATGCCTTTGGACTTTTACTTGTCATTTGGCGTCGGAGTGAAGAAATGCATTCTGTTCGAGTAAACATTGATTGCGTCACTCAGTGTGCTACACAGCAGCCAGATTCCTCATGTTTGTGCAGAAGAGACATTCTGGAGAAGGTTTTGGAGCAGTTTTTGCACTGGTATTTCTTTACATCAGAATGGGTCTGCAGATGCGCCCTCAGGTTGGACCTGTCTGCAAATGCTCTGTTGCAGTGAGGGCAAGAAAAAGGCTTCTCCCCTGGGGGGTGGGGGTAGAGGATTAAAAAAAAAAAAAAGACAGTCAGTGTTTTTAGAGGAAACATAAAGTCAAATAATGTTAATGAATATCAATCACATTTTGCCAAAGGAATGAGAAGTAGCAAAACCTGGTTAAATTCCCCATCATAGATACTTATGTGAATATCTGGCCTTTTAAGATAAAATTTGTATGAAAAAATCATAGCCAGAGTAGTATTAATGCTGCCAGTCATGCAGAAATAATTCACGAAGTACTAGGGCTTTCACTTATTAAAGCTTTCTGCTTCAGCAGGTGCAGTTAATGCTGAATGCTTCACAACATTTCCCAATATTTCCCCTTTTCCCTCTTTCTGTATTATGACTAAGGCAATATAAATGCCTTAACTCCCTGCAGGATGATTTTGTACTAAGAATAAAAAAAAGTCAGCAGAAAATGAAACAAAAGACACAAATCAAATTCAGTTCCAACTATCCAACTCACTAAGTGATGATAGCTTTCACAGCCAGAATGTAATAAAACAGAAAACTGTAAGAAAACCCTCCAGCTATTTGCCAAATCAATTGATTAGGATAGCAACGTTTGTATTTGCTGATTACTGGGGGCAGTTTCACAGAACACACATTCAAATATATCTTTTCTGATTTTCTAACTGATCTTTGAGACCAAACCTCCTGCATCTACTTTCCAAAGTCTAAATGCTGTTTGCAGTCTCTGGAGCAGAGGTTGTTAGCAAGAAGTGGAACACCTGGTGCTCTCATAAGTTTTTTGAGTAGTCAGGAAGTACCTATCAATGATCAACCATCTTGAAAAGCACTGTCACTACTCCATGCAAATCCAACAGCCCAGCCCAGAGTGTCCTTCTATCAGAAAGCCACGTTTTTTCTCTTACCAGTGTGAGTTCTAATGTGTCCTTGAAGCAACCAGGGTCTGGAAAACGCCTTGCCACAGATCTTGCAGACACAAGGTAATGTGTGGGTCCGAATGTGCATCTTAAGGGCGCCCAGGCTCACATATTCCTTGTCACAGTATTTACAGCTGAAAGATTTCCTAGACTGGGCATCGCAGTGCAGCTGCTTATGTTTGGCCAGCCCAGAAAAAGTTGAATAGGTCTTATTGCATAAATTGCACTGAAACTTTTCAGCTTCAATGGCATGGGGATCTGAAAGCTTGGATTGTAGTCTTTCCTCTTCATCACTAATGGGGCTTTCTGAGCCACTGTGGTCCTTAGATGAGGTGTCTGATGGAGGAGGGGGACTCATTCGCCCCAAGGATGAGGGGTATCCAGAAAGAGGAGAGAGGCCATTGGGCAGTGGGGAGTGGAATGGAGCTGTCGTAGTCCACACGGTAATGGGGCTGTATGCTCCCGAGCTGAGGATCTCTGGTTTGGGGATGACGGGCATGGGGTAACTCTCATAGAGATATGGGGAAATGATCACTGGGGGAAAGAAAAGGAAAGAAGATTAAGGTAAAAATAACTAAAAAAAAAATATACATACACCAGGAAAATATTTGACAACCCCCATAAGACTTTATAATGAAAATGGACTGTTTTAGAAGCACAAATATATTGGTAAAATTTTGCATGTGCACCACGGCATCCGTGTAGCGATTGTACTGAAGGCACACACAGTCTGACAGCTGGCCTGAGCTATCCCATGCTCTGTCTTGAGGGAGTGCAGTCAGCCAGTGCCTTCACTCTGTCCACCAAGGAAGAAGAATCTAAATATTTTTAAACACACGGAAAAGTTGCTTTTCATTCCATGCAACGGACTACTGACATGTTACCAGCCTAGCTACAGAGATATGAATAAACCAAGCTGCCTCCCAAAGGAACAGAACTTATTACAGGAAAAAAAAAGCAAATAATTCAACATTTAGGTTTTATGTTCATCTTCCACATATTCATTACGTGTGCGTATACAAGCTTTAGAGAAAATGAAGCTGCAAGAGTCGAAGGGAGGTTGGTTTTTTTTTCCCTTGTCAGTTAAGAGTTCCAAAAAGTTTTGAATTAAAACGTACCCTAAATGATCAAAAGAATAAAAATGCTCTTTTAGGGCGATGCTAAAAAGGGAAATGGCTCAGCCTTTTTTTTGCTCTTTTTGTAATAGCCTTTGAAGAGTAACACGTTCATATTTTTACAAATTTAGAGATATACAGTTACAGAGAGACTTTTTAAATTTTCTTTCTTTCTTTTTTTACCTGTGTGTGTGTCCAGTTCGCTGTAGTTTGGCTTTTTGGAGGCGTTGAAATGCTTCTTGACCAGGAAGGAGCGCGGCATCTTGCCGGCTGTTCTTGGAGGCGCCCCGGCGCGGATAACGGTCCGGCGGGAGGACGCGGCGGGCTGTCCCTACAGCATCGCGGCCGGTGGGGCTCCGCAAAGGGCCGCGCTCAGGTGCGGCCAGGCGACGGGCCGGCGCCTCTGAAGTCACCCGGCTGCTTGACGAACTGAGCCCGTTTTGGCTGGGAGGGTTTTTTTTTTTTTTTCTTCTCCCCCCCTCTCTCTCTCTTTTGCAAGAAGGATCCAATCACAGCGGAGAGGTTCGGATTTCAACTCCTCCCCCTGGGACAGCTGTGAACAGAGGAAGAATCTGTTGTCAGACTAAATTATTCTGGTTCAAAATGGACTGTTTTTCTGGATCTCAATGAAGGGGGGGGGGGAGTGTTTTAGGTATTTTTCGAAAGAGGAAAAAAAATCTCCTGGCTTGATCTCTACCAGTGACTCGTGCTCTCTGAGACCTAGAAGGGTCGAAGGAGCTGCGATTTCTGCCTAAAACCGGCCTGGCCTCCAGATGTGGGGGGTACCGCGTCTGCAGAGGGACTGCGGGTCGGCCAGAGGAAGGAAAGGCCGTCCTCCCCGATGCCGGGTCGGCCCCTGGTGTCCCTGAGAGCCTAGATTTGGAAGTGGCATTCGGACGTTTTATTTGCACGCGGACCAAATAATGAACTCTTGGATTTTTTTTGGGGGGGGGGGGGGGGGGAAGGTAGAGGAGTGAAGACAGAAAGCGTCCCTGAGCTAGGAGGGCGCTCCTGCCCCCGCGCCGCCCGGGCCTGGAACAGTCTCCGCGCGCGCTCTAGTGCTCAGGACCCACTTGGTGTCCCCCAAGGCTCTGGCAAAGCCCGAGGGCGCTTCCTTAGGGAAACTGAGTAATCTTGTCACCCTATTAGCTACGGTGGCTTGAAAGAAATGCCTTATAGCCCATCAAAGACCTGCTTATCCGAGGAACTGGAAAACTGCACAGATAAAAAGGAAGGCTGGCCGAGAGGGGAACAATAGGGAAGCTGTCATCAGGAGTCCTGGCCAGTTCTCTCACGACCCCCTCTGACAAGAGTTCTTATCTTTTCATGTATCACGATGTATTTTCATGAAATGAAAAAAAAAAAACCCATATATGAGTCTTTGAGGTGATTATTTCTTTAAAATATTGATCTGGTTTTAATTGGTGCTGTTTTTTTTTTCCAGTGTAAAAAAAGTCATCAAAATCCCTCTCACTGTCTGCCAATTTCCTATCGTGCCTTTAAAATAAAATAAAATAAAATAAAATAAAAGGATACCCTTTTTGAGTCCTTTTTGGTTAAAGTTTAAGAAAATAGTCTAGTAACTAGCCAAACACTTTCATTTTTGTGTATAGTTTTAAATCTAAAAATAATTCTAAAGGGCGACCTTTTAAAAATAAAATTCCAACCATATTTTTTAAGCATCTCTCTTTCACACTTTCCACCCTACCTCTGGCTCCAAGAAAAAAAAAAGGAGAGAAGAAATTTGCATGAAGACCACCCTCCTCTTGTTTCTAACAGGTGCTGGAAGGAAAAAAAAAGTGAAAAAGAAAATAACAGTGGTGATGTCAAGACTTGTAAAAGAAAAGTGCATTGTCAGACGCATAACTTCTTAATCTTGGGGATGAGAAAACAAGTATGTGCCAGAGGAGGGGGGAAGGGGGGGTAGTCACAGGCTTCCTGAGCTCATTTCAAGGATTCCTCTTTTTCCTTCCAGCAGTCACTTATTGAAATGTCAAACACAGAACCAAATTTAGATGAATCCTTATGGTAAGGGAACATATCTGTAGGAGACAGGAAAATATGAATACACATTAAAATTCACCACCAACTATAACCTGGAATATCAATCAGAGCCAGGATTCTGAGCTTGTACTTTTTTGTGAGGGTTTGTTCAGATTTGAGCACCAGATTTATTGAAACAAGAGTCCTGATCCTTTCCACCCCATTTTCTACAGAACACACATTTCATTAGAGATCAAATGTAGTTAAGAAAACACAAATCATCATGGCCATTTATCCCCTGCTTTCACTCCATACAGCCTATCCACAACAGAAAAGAGTATTAGAGAATGTTTTTGGTATTTTTCTGGTAGTTATAACACACACGCTATTCTGCTAAAATGTGTGTATTTACCATCCATTAAAAAAAAAAAAAGTTAGCAGTAATTCACTATGCCTGCCTGGGGAAAATGCAAAACAAACTTGAATTTGAATCATAGAGACATAATCCAGCTGAACTTCTTCCACATGTAGCTAGGGTAGCGGGGGGGTCGCACCCCACAAAACAGAGTCAGAATGTATTGCCCCACCTACTGCAATGAGCGGAGGGTGCTCAGGGTTGTGGTTGAGACATACCATTACACAGATCCTCGTGCTAGCTCGTCAGACCTATACCTGTGTGAGGTCTGGTCCCCTGTCAGAGCAGGGAGAGTCTGCGCGTTGATAGCGTGAGTCACACTAAACAGGTGCTCTGCTCAGACACAGCAGAGGGCACTTGGCGCCTGAATGATGTGTTAAAAAACGCAAGAAGGGAAGTCAAGGGCACACCCAAAGGCCAGCTGTGCAGACTCTGCTAAGACAAGACAAGGGAGGTCTCCTTTCCTGCCAGCCAGAATGCTCACATGGACAAGCTGGCCTTGGTCAATGAGTAAAAGATTCTCTCTGGCTCAGGGGCAAAAATCAGCCCAGGCAGACACTGGGTATTAAATGCTTCATTTTAAAACCAAATAAAAGGCAATCAAATGGTGGAGGGGAAAAATAAATAAAATAACTCAAGTTAGGTTTTGCTGGGAGTCTGTCCTGGGCTGGTGAGAAACTGATGTTACATAACTAGGCAGATTGGAGAAGTTAATTATAAAAGATGAGATATTTGTTCTGAGAAYTACAACCCAGCCAGGGTGAAGCTGGGGAGCATTGACCCTGCCTTAGGGCTCTACACGGTTTAGTGTGGAGCAGTATGAAGAAATGAGGAACTCCAGTGGCCTTTTCTATGCGGGCGTACAAAACACTCCTTCAGCCGCACTGGATGGTACTTTCCTATCTGTGTCTTCCACGGGATTAATTCTATGTGTTGCATGGGTTCCTAGAGGCTCATGCCATCTAATTCCTTAATTGCTATGTGACTTGATAAGTCTCTGACTTGACCTGACAGCCACTCATTTCCAGTGTTTTCTGAAGAAGATGACCAGGATAACTTGAGGAAAACTTTGAAAGTTAAAATTTTTGGAACATTCTCCACAGTCTCCCTGGACCCATGGACTCAGTCTTCTTCACAAGGACATCTTCTTGCCCTGCTAAATAAGAAAATACATTAGATTCATGAGGTTTGGGGATGCACATTGTATTAACTTCCATGGGAATTTGTGCACATTTAGGTATTCAGATGTTTAAAAAGAAGAGAGGGTACTGACTACCACATTTAGGAAGTGGCATCAATCTAGCACAGAAGAAGATACTACAGCTCTGAAGAGGCAGAAAATTCCACTGTGCCTCCCCAGATGAACAGTCTCTGAGTTTCACTTTCTGGTATGATAGGTTGTAGGGTCAGGTTAGCTCTCCTGAATGACATGAAGTTATAAAATGCCATTAGTGTTATTGTGATCTCTAAATATTATAATGTATTAAATTTTTAAAAAATATTTAAATAGGAACACATGTTAATTATAGTAACTAAAGTTTGAATAACAAAGATGTGAGACTAATTTTGGTTTGTACATGAATGCATCTATATATATATATATATATATATATATATATATATACACACAGATATATGTATATTTGTATTTCCTAATTCATAATTTAAATCAGTTTCAAAACAAAGTAAACCATTCCCTAAGAGCATAGAAATAGATGTCTCCTTTTAGTGCCTGGGCTTCTTTATCTGTACATTATATTTAATGAGCATCTTTAATTTTTCTTCAGAATGATTGAAGTTCAAGTATTTCCCAATATAAAAGGGAAATTTATTGGAGTAAGCATAGGATTGTACTGGTATATTGTGAGTAAGGAGAGTGCAAGGGTGTGAATGAAACTCACTTACACACTCAACATACATAGCATATCTATTAAATGATGCCATATATGAAAGTGTGTGTGTTCACCTTTCTAAATTAAGGTTAGCAACAATAGTAACAATAAAATGATGTCAGGGTGCCCCCCTGCTATTTAGGAGTCCCCATTATTTCCTGTGTAATCTCATAGCCACAGTCACCAGGCTAATAGCACTGGCCTTGTGTGTCTTTCTGAAGATGACTCTAATTTTATTAGCTCAATTAGTGCCATCCCATATGATCATCAAAGTTTTGAGGCCATTTCAAACCGAAAGCCTTGTTTACCCTGAGAACAGCATTTTAATGAGATCTATTTTCTGCCAAATCACTTGTATTTGGAATCTTATTGCTAGTTGTGTTTTTATAATCTCATTTCCCTTTGGGTGGATTTAATATGGTTAGTGCATCATGCACAGTAAAAGATATTCATCTCTTAAGTGTTCTGGTGTACCTTATAGAAAGTGGTGATGATCTTATCTGCAAAATGAGTAAGACTGGAAAATGCTGAATGTATCTGTATTTTATACATCCTCTCAGGGATATGTGGTGGCGAAGAGACCCCTATTGGTCAATTTTGGAGTACCCATGGCCTGCTTTTCTTTTCCGTAACTTTTTAACAAGGCCTGCCACCTAGTGGAAAATGGAGTGATTTGCTTACATTCAGATGAACATTTTTTTTTAAATGTATTAAAATACATAAATTTATAAAAATACATAAATAAAATTCACAAAAAAATGATTTTTAAGCAAATTCATTTCATTTATAATTAAAAATAAAGTGTTTGTAGAAATATATATGACATTTACAGAACAAATTCTGTTCATTTTATAAAACAGGCAAGTATGATAATGTTCATCAGTCTGAGCAGCCACGGAGAATGAAGTAGGCAAAAACATTTAGAATTATACCAAGAACTAAACAAGCCGCATGACTTATTCCCTGTATTCCCATAATGATCTATGAGTTAAACTTATATTAAAGACAGGGAACCAAGCCTGAGTGAAGTTCTCCAGGGACATTCAGAACGAAAGCCAGGATGGAGTCAGGGTTTCTACTCTGTTTGATTCCAAGGCTTATGAACTTGACCTGAAGGCTCTGTTACACCACTCTGATCTGCTAAGGTCGCTG